ATTGAAAGAAAGCAGATAAGGTGAAATGAACTTAGTTTTTACCGAGGATTGACCCTTTCTATCCCGAATGACATAATCTACATATACCTGTCCAAATGGTTCTCATTGTCTATCTTTCTAACTATTTTTCGTCTAAGTTAACCTTGAGCGTAAAAAGAAATGAGAACAACTGAAATTTTACGTGCGGTGAACACGTTCTCTCTTTAAGGAAGCATCTTAGGTGAGGGTTTGTTGCTTTAGGAACCGACCCTGTTATCGAAGAGTCGACCGTTCTACGAGAGACTACTTTGTCGATTCAGTAGAGATGACCCGACTTCTGAGATCTGAGTCTTGTGCTCGGACGAGGAGGAGTAGTACCCCAGATCACTTCCTAGAGGGAGAGATATGCAACACCTTAAGTAATGCATCTAATTAAGAATCATCCGCAAAATAGTCTGTCATCCAAAAAGATTGGGAACTTATGAAAACGAGTGTGTGCATGCTTAATCTTAGGTTCGACTCAATGGTAGGATGAAATGAATGACTTTGGCAGCGCATCTTATAAAGTCAAGACTAGGGCAGTACGACTACCTTGTCGGTTGCATCTATGTTATTGTCGAAATCCAACTCCTCGTTGGCGGCTGTATGATTTTTGTGGAGTTTGACCCTGGGTGGTCGGATTTTATTTTGATTTTGTGTTATTGGATGTATCTAATGATGATTTTTATTCATTCAGTTATCATTTTAGATTGAATACATATTCCTATTAACTGCGGTCGATTCCTTATGATGTAAATAATTGTGGGTGTTATAACTTTCTTTTGACTGGTGTCTAAAGGGACTAGGATTGAGTTGGGGGTTTCACGCTTGGTTGAAACCGTCCTCGTCGATGGGCGTCCGCTTCATACTTAGGAGATCAACGCCCTAATTGACGAATGACGTTCGGGTTCAATAGGCGTTTTAACCTCGCGTACCTATACTACAACGAGCGAGCAAACGCCCTCGACTGACCCACCTCTGCAATTGCATTTAAAAACTTTCGCACAGGGGTCAGTGACTCGGTAGGGATACGCCCCTAAGGGTGTTAACAACCTCTTAGGGAAGCAAGTTCTGCCCCGTGGGAACCTATCCGGTCATAGGGGACCGTGAGAAGTACAACAGGTGCACCCGACTAGAGCGCTGAAGGGACGACATGACCACGACCGTCTCAGCGGCTCGTGGGATTATTTATGCATCGTCCCCAAATTGTCTCTTTGTTTTGCTTTTGTTTAACTCTTGCATGACATGGTCGGGAGGGCTCCCGCCTCTTCACAAAAGAAGGCGGGGACCAATGCGCTCCACGACGGTACTATTGCTTGGATATGAAAATTTGTCAGGGTGCGGGACTGTTACGACTCATTCTGGTTGATGACACAAATTTGATGAGGCTTTTTGCTGCATTGCACATTTTTGACATAGTCGTTGGCTCCGTATCGAGTATTGGACCTGCATTTTGGGGACTGTGACATTTATTTCGATCGACTCGGCACTTCACTAGGACCACCTTTTGGGCCTGGTACAGCTGGTACGAGCAAGGCCGGTCCTCGGCTACAAACGGGGGCTGGTTGCCAAGGGTTGATGCTCTTCCCTGGACCAATGTCAGAGCCGAGGCCATTTAGGCCAGACCACCGGAAAGAGGGGAAAAACTTTCATTCAAAGGGTGGAAGGGTTAGCAGTGTGCCCGGTACACACAACCCTAGCGTATTTGCCTACATCATGGTTGTACCTCTTCGCATAACGGAGGGGGATGTGTGAATAGCAGGAGGGAACTGTAATGTGCACACAACGTACACAACACCTCTTCTCTTGGCTCGGGCAAACAACGTTCTGGGGTGACGAAAACTCTCATGTGGGGAAACACGCAGACTGTATAAAAATTGGATTGGGTGTTTCCGACTTTGTTTTAAAGTCTTCGTTGGTGGTGGAAGGATCTGTTGTCAAGAGGCACTGAGAATAGCTAAGGGGGAAGAGCGAGGCGCGTGCCGGTGTCGAGCGCATCGACTCCCGCCTTTTTTGCAAAGCGTGAGAGCCTTCCCGACCATGTCACACAAGAGTAAAACAAAACAAAACCAAGAGACAACTTGGGAACGATATATAACAACCCCGTGAACCGTCGAAAACATTCGCTGTAACAAAAAAATTCCCACGAGAAATGAAAGTTGAAAAAACATTTGTTTCTGGGTGTTTTCGGCCTGGGAAGACATTCATGCATAGTTTGCACCAGGGGAGGGCCAGGCCTCTTTGCTCCAGCGTTGTCCTGTCGATTAGCCAGTTGTTGGTGGGCAGGCAACGATGCTCGATCTGCCATTGCAGCGACGCAATCTTGGCAGGCTTCGCCTTGGCCAACCGAAACCACTTAATTGGTCGTATCTCCGCCTGGCTGACATTTAGGTGAGATCTCCATCGGTCCCTTACTTGATCGGCGAGGTTGGTCTTGGGACGCAGGAGCCTGTAAGTTGATTTTACCGTTAAACCGTAGAGTGTTTTAGTGCAATTTTTTCCTTTCCATCGTTGGGATGTCCATTTCCACTCCGCCGGATCCAGGGGCAAATGCAGTATCGGGGTGGACGGCCTGAACGCTATCAATTGCTGGTCCTCTTGAAGCACCCTGATGCGAAGGAGGTCTGCTATTGGGTACACAGACTGTTCCACATCGGTGTCGCTGTGGAGAATGTTCCCTTTGCGTACCAGAAAGCGGTCCAGCGTTGCAGTTCCATCTGGGTGCAAGGCGGCGACCGTGCCCACCTCCCCCATGGTGTCCAGACCTGCGACCCAATCGTTTTTCTGCAAACCTGGGCCCCTACGTAAAATTCTTAGCCAATCTATAGGGATCAGTTCTGTCAACCTTTCCAGGGCTGCTCGGGGATGGTGGCAATATCGTAGCTTCTCTCGCAGCAGGTCAGGAGCGACCCTGTCCTTTTTTGCAGGATCCCATTTATCGTAAATCCTTGTGACCCCTTTCTGCACCCATCCATTCCATTCTGGTTCAAGCCATTCAACATTATTATTTCTGTTTGAATAAGAGAGGAGGAGATAAGGAGGAAGAGATTGGTTGGCGGAGAAGATGAGCCTTATCTTTGATTTATGCTGGAGTACATCATCTTCTTCTTTTATCTTACTTCTTCTTCTTCTTCTTCTTTCCCTCTCTCTCCTCTCAAGTTCATTCATTTCTATTTGCAATTGGTTGGCATTGTACTTTCTGTTATTTGTATACCTCAAAATTGGCCAGGATCGTAACATTGGTATCAAAGCGGATTCTACTTGTTGGCGAGAGTTGACTTTGCTGCCATAACCCTAACCCTAGTGGTAAGGGCTAACCRCTTAGGRTTAGGGCTGGAAGTTAGGGTTAAGTGGGGCAGCGTGGTAAAGGGAAGCTGCTCCCACCTGGCAGGGCCGTGTAGGGTCGACACTAGACCCGGCCAGGTTGCTTGAGTGCATGTTTGTGGTGGCGAGACACAAGGTGGGACTTCGTGATGCAATTTGAGAGAGGCGACAGTGATGGGCACCTACAACTGGAATCTGGACTTCAAGGAAGTTGAGGAGTGACTTTAGGGTTCCCCTCAAGTAAGGCGAGCTTGAGGGTGGCAGCCATATCTGCACCTACGGACTGCAAGTTGCTACTTTGATCTTCAAACATCTACGGTGGACCGGGTGTTGTACTTTGGGGTAAAGGTTGACCTTCCTAGTTGATAGGGCACTAGTGTAGAGGATGCTAATTGAGTCAGGAGGACTATGTGAGAGGGGGGTGAATTCTTTTCATCTCAAGAGCCCGGCCACTCAGGTAAGTGTCGTGCCACCAGGGTGCCCATGTGTGCATGCATGGAATTGACTGCCTGTTAGGTTCTTTGGGCTCTTCTTCCATCCTCCATAGTCTTGATCTTGTGGGAGGTGTGTGGACTGCTTACTCACCTGAAGAGTGAATGGATGGAGTATCTTGCATGCAATGCTATATCTTTCTACAATGCTTCATCTATTTTATTATGAACGGCTGTAGTCTGTAGGTTCTTTCTGGAGCTAAATTTCGTTTTTCAATTTGGTAGAGACAAATACAAGACCTTCGTGGAACTCTTGTTGGTTGGGACCCGGTTCAGACTCCACTGGGACCAGGTGGGACTCGGTGGGACCGGGCCCAAACAAGAAGGGCCCCTCAGGCCAAATCTGTTGACGACAGTCATCGTGCTCTATCTGATTGGGACTCGGGGTTCAATGCTTTCGGACCAGGACACTCACTGCGAAGGGGATCTCCGCTGGGACGTTTTATCAGACTTTACCGCACGATCCGCCGCCTGACTCGCACCTCGGACACCACTCAATTCTTTCTTGCATTACGCTGTACACTTTGAATCTGATTTGCTGTATCTCTACGGAGCTGAGTCCGGCTAGGCTTGAGAGGACCTCATACGTAGCCGGTCCAGACTATGTGGCTGAATCAGATCTCTCTGATTTTTATTTATTTATTGATTGATTGTTTGATTACTCTCCAGTCCAAATGAATAGTCGCTCCGGCTAGGAGTTCTACCTTCTCTTCTGACTGTTCTTCAAGTTGTTTTTTTCATTGGGTTCGTTAATGCCTGCGTCTACACGATCGCAAACAAGAGAGAGAGAGAGAAGAGAGAAGTTATCGAGTGTTGCTCTTGAGGGAGTGAGGAGAGGAAAGATGAGTGTTTGTCACAAAAAGAAGTACGGACCCCTCTTGAGAGTCTTACTGACACCCTCATCCTCCATCATGACGTCTGCGGCAGAATGAAAACTGTAGATGGACGCTGCCCCTGAGCAGAAAAACCGCAATATCAGTTCTTCTACGAGAAAGCTTTGAAGAGGGAAGAGGAAGATAAAGAGAGAGATAAAAGGGATAAGGTGCAGACTCATGAGGCCGTCCTTAGCACCATGTCCGCTTTGACTGATGCGGAGGTAGAAGAGAAAACAGTTCCCCTCCTCAGAGCCTTAGCAGAGGTCCGGATTGCTGAGGACCATACTGGCCAGCTCGCACAGGTGTTTAAGCAACTCAAGGAGTTGCGCGAAGACATAGCCAAAATAACGCAGCAGCACCGCAACCAGCTGCAACAGTTTGCTAGTTCGCAGCAGGCTTTGATTGTCTCTCCACTCACCTACCCTGCTTCCAAAGCTGCGTGTCAGTCCAATTTTGCCCCTCTGACTATGTCTACTTCTTCTTCTTCTTTGAGTGTGGTTAACAGTCAAAGCGGATCTGCAGCAGGTCCAGACCCCGCTGCTGCTGCTGCTGCTGCGGCAGCAGGCAGTGGTAGCGCAGGGCATTCTGGAACTGCTGCAGCCCCGAATCCGGATCCAGCAACCGGTGGTCCTAACTGCAGCTTCCCCTACGTGGATCGGAAGGCGGCACAGATTCCGTCTAAGTATGACGGAAAAGACGACATTGAGTCTTGGATCAGCACCATGCGGTCCTACTTTGATGTACTGGGGACACCCCCAGCTACTCAGTCATCGGTCCTAGGGACCAATGTGGAACCCGCCGTAAGAGGACACTTGGAAATCCAAGCTGTACAAGCAGGTTATAAGTGTATAGACCTGAACAAATGGCTGAAGGCTATGCCTGTAGCCACACTTGAAGAGCTCTTGATCAAACAGTATGCCGATCCACATGTTGCGTTTAAAGCAAGAAACAAGCTTGATAAGCTCAAGCACATCAAGTGGACCGGCACCATGCAAAGTCTGCAGCAGTACGTCAGTAAGCTGTTTGCTACTCCTAATTTGGAAATGACTGCACAGTCTTGCTTGAATGTCATCAAAGGTACGGTTCCCTCTGCTGAAACTCGTCGCCTAGATTGGCTTACCCTCATGAGGGATTTAGTCAAGCTGGAGGCACAAGACCTCCCGGGTGGATCGACTGTCAAAAAGACCATTGGCCGCAAACGGTTTCCTGGCAGCAACCGTTTTGCAGCGCACGATCTGCATGAGGACGATGAGGAGACCTTCGCAGATCATCCTTCTCTTGATGACGATCAAGAGCAAGGCTGCGAGACATCTTGCTCTTCGTCATCCCACGAGTCTGAGTATGTGAATGACGATGAATCTATGAATGTCTTTAAAAAGACTGCCTTTAAGAGCAAGGGACCGAAGACCACAATGAAGAGCAATACTAACACTGTTTTCCTCCCCAAAGGGGCAAAGATTCCACCCATACCGGAAGATCCTGCCACAATACCATGGGTAGATCTCCGGATCAGTGAAAGTGAGTGGAAGAGCAGAGTGAAAAGAGGAGTTTGCCTGCACTGCACCAAATTGGGACACTCAGTCCAACAATGTTTTAGACTGCAGGGAAACCAACAAAGGGGGTAGAGTCATCATCAGCACACTCTACTAATGGAGAGGCTGGACAAACAAGTGCAGGTCCTTTACCGGAATCTGATCCTACTCAGCAAACTTCTCCTGAGACCCCTTCTGATGCTGATTCCAAGGCTGAGCAACTATGCATCTTATATAAAGAGCCTTGGGTAGAGTCGGAAGAAATCGACTTTCATGCTCTCTTGACACGCTGGGCTCACCTGAAGCAAGAACGCGTGCAAGGGAAGACGAAGTTGATCTTCTTCAAACTCCGCATTAACGGTCGTTACATCCGTGTGTTGGCTGATTGTGGCGCAACCGCCAACTACTTCTCACCGCACGACATTCGTAAGGCACGCTTGAGAATGAAGCAAGAGATCTTGCAGAATCCTTGCCGGACCCAAGTGGGCAACCAAGAGGTTGTCACATCTACGCATGCAGTCAAAGGTGTGCACACTACCTTTGACGCTGACCGCACAATCACGCATGAACTAAACTTCTATGTCCTTGATCAGTGTCCCTTCGAGGCGGTTATTGGCTTGGGATGGTTGCAGGCCCAATGTGTAAGAACCACATGGAAGGACTCACAATTCATGGTCAAAGATGCTATGGGAATCGAGCGACCAGTCCTCTTGGACAAGTCGCGTGAGTCCCAAGTCACTTTCCTCAATGCAATGCGATTCTGCAAAAAGTGGCGCAGGCGCAAAACTGATGAGCAAATGTATATAGCCTTCGTCAGGCCTGCTCATGTGTCTTCAATTTTTGTTGTACATACAGATTCTACTTTGCATGTTGTTTCTACCTCTAGAACAACTACTTCTACCTCTACCGAATCTATTTCTAGTCCAAATGATTCTGCTGTAAAGTCTGTTGTGTTGGCTGCACCTATGCAATCTGGCACGCTTGCTCCTGAGAGTGATGATCCCCCTCCGGAAGTCCCACCGGAGATTCGCCACCTTCTCAACCGATTTCCTGAGGTCTTGGCCGAACCGCACTAGGTTCCCGTGCGACCAGTCCGACACAAGATCGAGTTGATTGAAGGTAGCACCCCTCCAAAAGGCTGTGTCTATCGAATGGGCTCAGGCAAATTGAAGGAGTTGTGACGACAGATTGATGAGATGATTGGGAAGGGATGGATCAAACCCAGTGAGTCTGAATTTGGTGCGCCGGTGCTGTTTGTCCCTAAGAAGGGAGGCATACTGCGGATGTGTATCGACTATCGCGGATTAAATAGAATCACAAGAAAGAATGCATATCCTTTGCCATGTATCGATGACCTTCTCGATGCTGCAAGTGGATGCAAGGTCTTCAGCAAGATCGATCTCAAGTCTGGCTACTACCAGATTGAAGTCGAGCCTGCAGGCCAGCACAAGACCGCATTCAAAACTCGCGATGGGCTGTACGAGTTTACAGTCATGCCCTTCGGTCTCATGAGTGCGCCAACCACCTTTCAAAGTCTCATGGATAAAGTATTTCGCACTCAGATCAATCGATTTGTTGTTGTATATCTGGATGACATACTAATCTTCAGCAAATCGATGGAGGAGCACATGAGACACCTTGAGGAACTGATGCAGATCCTCAAGGACGCGCAACTCCATCTCAACTTGGAGAAATCTGAGTTTGGGAGGGACAACGTCATCTACCTTGGACATCAGTTGTTTGCTGCAGGCCTAAAGCTCGAGGCAACCAAAGTTGAGGTCATCCGAAAGTGGCCTCAACCTGCGAATGTCCGCGAGTTGTGTTCTTTTCTTGGTCTTGCGTCGTACTACCGTAAGTACGTGCCTAGATTCTCTATCACCGCCCGTCCATTGTCTAAGCTAACAAGCAAGAATGTGTCCTACACATGGAATGAAGAATGCACGACAGCCTTTGAAGCACTTAAAGAGGCTTTGGTGAGTCATCCGGTACTCCGCATTGCAGATCTCAAGCTTACATTCGTAGTAACTACGGATGCAAGTTTGTATGGGATTGGTGTGGTGCTGCAACAAGATGACGGTGATGGCTTACGTCCGCTTGAATTCTACACCAAACGCATGCCCAGTCACAAGGTAGCCGCTTCCACCTACATGAGAGAGCTCTATGCCTTGAGAGAGGCATTAGACCACTGGAAACACTACCTCTTGGGTCGCCATTTCAAAGTGTTCTCAGACCATGAGACTTTGAAATGGATTCAGACACAGGTTAACCCATCAACCACGTTGACCCGATGGCTGCATGAGATTGACGTGTATGATTTTGAACTCAAACACAAGAAAGGCTGTTATAACCGAGTCGCAGATGCTTTGTCTCGCCACCCTGAGTATATGACTTGCCTAGTGGGTTCCTATAATCTTCGCAAGAACTTAAAAGAGGAACTCATTGAGCAAACTGCCAAGGATCCGGAACTCAGTCCCATCCTTGAGCAGATTCAGGCCGACCCCGACAGTCAGCCTGATTTCCATGAATGCAAGGGGCTTCTCTTCCGACGCTACGGGAAGCATGATCGGTTGTATGTACCCAACCATGAGCCGATCCTCGGTCACTTTTTGGACTTGGCTCATGGCCGGAGTGGACACTTCGGTGTGGAGAAGACAAACGGAAACTTGTTGGAAAAGTTTGTGTGGCCTGGAATGAAACGAATGACACAAAGGTTTGTGGCTGAATGTGAAGTTTGTCAACGCATCAAACCGTCTCGACAGAAGCCCTATGGGCTGCTGCACCCTCTTCCTATCCCTGATGGTCCAGGTGAGTCTGTTTCCATCGACTTCACGGACATGGGAAAGAAGAGCCGAAACGGTTATTCACAAGTTATGGTAATCATTGATCGCTTTTCGAAATTTATGAACCTGATTCCATTACCACCTTACGCCCCAACTGACCTTGTGGTTGAGGAATTTAACAAACGGTACATTCTGCATTATGGCCCCCCGAAGACTCTTGTGAGTGATCGGGAGACGAGGTTCATAAGTGCAGATTGGAAGGACTTCACCTCCCAAACCTACGACATGAAACTCAAGATGACGTCTGGTCAACACCCCGAAGCCAATGGACTGGCCGAGGAGATCAACCAGACCGTGATCCAACCTCTCAGGGCTCTAATCGTGCCAGATCACAACTCTTGGGATGAGGAGTTGCCGATTGTGCAGGGGTTGTATAACAACTTCATTCACTCCTCCACCGGGATGACGCCTACTCGGCTACACCTCGGATAGAAGACCCGCAATCCTCTATCCTACCTGTTCCCGGAAGAGCCACCTGGCCTGACGCCCGGTCAGCCAGGCTACAGCGCCAAGTACGATCGGTTGCTCAAAGTTGCTGTCGCAACTATGGAAAGACGACGCAATGCCATGATCAAGCACGCGAACAAAAAACGCCAGCCTGCGCCTTTCACAGTGGGAAGTTATGTCTGGGTCAAAATGTCTGAATTTTCTGAAGAGGAGGGTGTGTCACGAAAGCTGCTTCCTCAGTACTACGGTCCGTGGAAGGTATTGAACCAGATAGGAAGTGATACATTTGGTCCTTCCTACACGATTGATGTGCCTGCTCATCTGCGCACATACCCAGTCTTCCACGCATCAAAGTTATTTCCGTATGAGCCACCTGAGACGTTTAAGTATCGAGAATCGATGATTCCCCGCGCAATCAATGGCGGTCAAGAGATTGCTAGAATTGTCGAACACAGTGGCAAAGGGAGGAACAGACAATACAAAGTTCACTTTCTATACCACCCACTGGATGATTTTTATTGGATTGCCAAGAAGGATTTGATGCAGAGTGCCCCACGAGTCGTCAATGCATACGAACGACTAATTAGTTCAGAACAGCAGCCTAAAGTCACTGCTACCCTCACTCCTACTGAATATAACTGGTCTCTTTTTGCTATTTATGCCTATGATGCATTATGCACGGACTCTGACTGAGTTACTCGCTCGAAGGGACCTCGCTCTTGAGGGGGGGTAGTGTAATAACCCGTCAGAAAATAGACTGAGAATACTGCTGATTTCCTAAGTTTTGCATATGGAAAGGATGTCTTGCTGAGATTTCCGCATTCTGCTGGGATTTCTAAGTCTGTGTGTGTGTACTTGTAATCTGTGTGCCTGTATGAGTGTTTGTTGATGTGTGTGTGTGAGCGTGCTTGCAACCTGCATGTCTGACTGAGTGCTTGTCGGCATGAGTGTGTGTGACCCGAAAGGGTACTTATGTGTTGAGAGGCCCAGAGGGCCGGTACTTACCTGTGGCCGTGGCATTGAGGGTTGCAGCAGGGGAAAACACTCGAGTGTCGGAGCCAGTGGCCCGCGGTACTTGCGGAGCCAGGGGCCCGCGGTACTTGGAGCAGCGGAAAAACACTCAAGTAGCAGGTAGGCCGGTACCACACCCCGTAGCGGTAGATGTGAGGAGTACTGGATGCCGAGCAGAAAAGACAAAGTTGGCATTTTTAGAGGCCCACTAGCGGTAGGTGAGGTCTAGGCCGGTACCAGTCCATCCAGTCTGAGTCTAGAGCCTGTACGGGTAATATCAGAGTCTGCAATGATGTTTCCCTCCGAAAGGGAGGAGGTACCGGTTGCTGGGAAGGCCGAGCGGCCTGGAAGTCACCGCCCAAGAGGCAAACAGGTCGCTATATCTTCAGGCCGGGCGAAGAGCCCATCCTCATTGTTCAGTGTGCGAGTTGGGCGTCACGCTGCTGGAGCGTTGGGAGGCACAGCGCTAGCTTGCATTAGCGCTGCAAGGAGGGAGAAGCCGGGAGCTTCCACCTCGGCTATGGTGGAGCTCAGCCGGTAGGAGGAGGAGGGAGAAAGGGACTGAGGGAGGAGAGTGACGAGGTACTTACCTGGCTATGGAGGACACTATCTTCATCACCTTGTTAGGCGCTGCATCTGGAAGGCCCCCGTTGGGGTAGTGCCGCATCAAGAAAGCTCAGGGCAGACTTAGACATGGCGGTTGAGTGAGCAACTACATAGCTGCCAAGTGATGACCTTGGAACAGTTGGGCAGCGGTATAGCTGCTTTGGGTTGCCCGTTGCACAGGAGGGAGAGACCTCCATGCTCCGCCATAGCCTAGGCCTATGAGTAGTTGAAGAGGAAGGTGGCCATGGCTATGGTGGACTTCAACTGGCTTCCTTAATTTCACCTTCATCCTTAGGCTGGGAGGGGGTTTAAGGTTGTCTAGGTAATCCTGTATGGGTCTCGACAGTTGCACTTGGAGTCACAGGGATGATGTAACCTCGCCTATAAATGGGCGGACAGGTAATCCCCTTTGAAGAGGGCAATCAGTGCTGTTCCGCATGATATGACTGTTTGGCATGACCTGCTCCAGTACTGTAAGTGGGACACTGGACACTGTGTCCAGCAGGTGCCTCTCTCCACCAATGGATTGGAGCCATCTATCACTAGGGGCCTACTATTGGGGGATGCTCATATCACTTCCAATAG